GGAGGAAAAGGTTGGCAATTTTCCACAGTAAAGCGGCGGTGGATCACGCTCTCTCAAACTTAGGCAACACATGGTCTGGGGACGATTGTTTCAGCATTTTGTGGCCATGTCGGGGTTTTGATTATTCTTATGATTTCGTCCAACATCCCCCTGTAATTAGGAGGACAGGCCCGACTTAATGCTGCCAGAAATATGCCGGGCCGAGGCGGCCCCAGCGATGCCGCGGAGGCGCAGAGGGCTTCCAGAGAGCACCGCTCGCGAGAGAGAGGGGGCCCCAGAGGCCCCGCAAAGGCCCAGGTCTGGCGAGATGGCCCCCGGGGGGCCCCTTCTCGCAGCACCCGAGGAGTGGAGACGGCCAACAGTTTGGAACCCAGACATGGTCGCGTCGTAGAAAAATCAGGACGGGAGGTTTTTGGCTTTTTTCGGCCTCGGGGGGCCCTCGCCGGGCTTCGGGACCGTCAACAAAACACGACTCGGGACGAAAAACCGGCCCCGGGGAGAGGGTCGGGACTTCCGGGACGCCGTCCTGAAAAAATCGGGAGCATCTTGGACTACCTTGACCATGTTGGAGCATCTGTGGACTATTTCTTGAATTTCCTTTTCGCCCAAAAGCTGCCTGTAGGGGGACAGGCCCGACCGAAGTTGAGCGCGTCCCCACTTCCCGTCGTGCTGCCCGGGCCCAGGGTGTGGGCATAAATCGCTCCAGCGCGTCCCAGGGTTAAGTCGTGCGTGTCCCTCTACAGGGGGGATCTATTCAAATCCAGTAAAAGCATAGTCTGGGTACGATTTGTGGTATTTGTGCATCCTGTCTGGTTTATCTGTTTGGCGGTTTTAAATTTTCCGTCCCTGTAGGAGGACACGCCCGACCTAATCCCAGGGCGCTCCCAGAGCGCTCCCGACGACCCGCCTGAGGCGGCCGCGGCGCCGGGTGCATCCTCCAGCCCCGCCGGCTCTCCGAGCGCTCGAGTACGACACACGTTGTCCGCATCCCGGGTTGGTCCTCCGCCTCCCGCGCTCGTCTTATCGTTGCGCCCTACAGAAGGAATCACCCATCATAGTCGAAAAGTGGTCTGGGGACGATTTTTTGGCGATCATCGTGGAGTATTTTTCGGGCATGTTTTATTTTTCGTCCAAAACCCAGACCCCCGACGTCATGATTTTTTCATGACGTCGACCCCCCGAGGTCTCGACCCATTCCCCAGGACCGGTTTTTCGTCCTGAGTCGTTTTTGTTGACGGTCCCGAGGGCCGGTAAGGGTCCCCAGAGGCCAAAAATAATGAAAAACCTCCCGTCGTGATTTTTTCATAACTCGAGGGGGTCTGGGAACCCTGCGCGTGCCCATTCAGGGTGATGCGCTTTATGTGGGAATTCGTATCACCGGGCCGGTGGATTCTCTCCCTTCCTTCCTCGCGCCTCCGGCGCCCCGGCCTCCTGGCCCTCCTGTTTCTCCCCCTCCGTGCACGAGGGTGCAACATAGGCGTTGGATGCCCCTATTCCGCCGTCGGTAAACCTCTATATGACGCTTGCGCACTAAGCACTCGAATGGTGGCTACTCGAACGGGAAGTCCAGCAGCACAAAAAAGACATCCAAAACCCTCCTGTAGGGGGACGCGCCCGACCTGAGCGTACGTGCGGCTGCACAGAGGCCGGGCCCGCCATGTCGCGCGGATCGCGGGGTGCGGCGGATGCGGATGGGTCCTGCCTTGCTCCGCCCGTGCCCCTCGCGCACCTTTCGTGGTCCTGAAGGCGTGAGCGCGTGAGCGTGGTACGATCGGGGCATGCAGGCGCTGGGCTTCGGCTCGTGCACCGCCCTCTTGCAGCCGGGTGTGCTTTCAGAGCCTCAGTGATGTAGTCGCCGCCAGCTGCATTGGCCGATGCATTGGCCGATTGGTGTCTCGGAATCGTGTGGAGAAGAGGAGGATCTGGAGGAGGAGGAGGAGGAGGAGGAGGAGGAGCTCGGGCGCTTCCCGCCATCGGTCCCCGCCCCTGTCGCCGCCAAGGCCGAGACGATTCCGAAGGCCATCGACCGGAGCCTGATGTACGCCTGCCGCGTCCTCGTGTGCGACTCGCAGCAGGACCAGGGGTGCACATGGGGCGTTCCAAGTGGCGTGGAGATACAGTCAAGACGCTGACATGTGGACATGTTGTTTCAGGGGGGGTTCTGGTTTCCGCGCCGAGGCTCGCCGTGGCCAGAAAAGCCGCTCCGTTCCTCATTGCGAAGGCATTACGGCTGGTGCCGCCGACCCCGATTAGGGACGACCACGACGACGACGCTCTGGCCTCTTGGGGCCATCTTGGGGGTGCTCTTGAGGCTCTCTTGGGGCCCCCTGGGCCCCTGGGTGCCTCACTGGGGGCGCCTCGGGCGCCTCTTGGGGCGGCCCCCCTGGCAGGGCGCGATGGCTGCCATCGCACCTCGCGCGTCGCGGCCCAGGTCGCAGAGCTGCCCTTCTCTGAGGTGGCCTCGCGGGGGCGGGGGGAGGAGGAGGAGGAGGAGGAGGAGGAGGAGGAGGAGGAGGAGGAGGAGGAGGAGGAGGAGGAGGAGGAAGAGGAAGAGGAGGAGGAGGAGGGGGAGGAGGAGGAGGAGGAGGAGGGGGGGGGAGGAGGAGGCGGGCGGCGAGGGCAACGGCCCGTCGCCCATCGCTTGGCGCGGTGCGAGAAGCTTCGTGGCCCGCGGCCGCGGGAACTCGTGCTCAGCGCTTCGCGCCGCCGGCCCTGGCCCCCCCACGACGCCTCGGCGCGACACGCCGCCATGCGTCGCGCGGCACACCGAGCGCGGCGCAGTCCCCGCGGGCGCCTCCGCTTCGACCGCGGCCAGGGGGGTCGTCGGTCGTCGTTGTTGTCGTCGCCGTCGTCGCCGCCGCCGCCGCCGCCGTCGCCGTCGTCGTCGTCGTCGTCGTCGCCGCCGCCGTCGTCGTCATCGTGCCGCCCCGCGGAGCGGAGCGGCACGCTGTCCGCCTGCAGGGCGAAGCGCGTCGCCAGCGCCGCCGCCGTGCGGCACGCCGAGCCGACCGCGGGTGTGTCGTGGGCCCTAGAAGGCATTTGCTGTGTTCCGGTGTTCCTGCTCGTCAACACGTATCACGTGTGCGGAGCTGCACTGTCAATGCCGCGCTTTTTCTTGTGGCTCTGCTGCGTTCCTGCTCGCGCACACAGCCGGAGGCGGCGGAGAGCTTGAGAGATCCACCCCCCAAAAATACTGTGGGCCCCGGAAGGCATATCGGCCCGATGGCTCTGGAAGGAGAGCAACTGCATCGGCATAAATTTTCCGGAGGCCCGCGCGAATCTCCTGGATCGGCGTCGGACCCCCCCCTGGCGGCGGGCCGGCGACGGGCCAAGGAGTCCGGGCACACGACCGACAGTTCATAATGCTATGTTCACTCCGTGGCTTCCCCGACAATTGTCAGGAGGGAGAAAAACACAGACACAACTAATCTTCGATTCCCCAGAAGATATGGGAAACGATAGGACGTGGGGGGGAAGACGAAAACCCAGAAAATATGGGGAAAATATTTGAAATCCTTTTATTTGTGTGTGTACTTATTTGTGTGGACCAGGGCCCCTTCAAACTAGTGCCGCACGTCGGCAGCAAGCGTCTCCTGTCTCGCCCTGCTCGCGCGCCGTCCGGCGCAGGGTTGACGTTCGTTCGCTCCATCCATGGTTTCCCCTTTCCAGGTGGTGTCTGCTCTCCCGGGTCGTCCACCGAGTGGGGTCTCTGGCGGGTCGGGCATAGAAGCGTAGACGTTTAGAGAATCCTTGCGCATGGAGCCGGAGCTGGCGACGATGGTTACGCCTTGCCCCTCGCATTGTCGACGCCGGCGTGCTGTTGTACATACTCATGCATGCGATCTGCAACCAATGTGCCGTCTAGGCACGGCTCACCTGACCTGACCATCCATGGCTTCCCCTTCTCAGCAAGCCGAACAGTGGCGGAAGTCCGGGCCTGTCGCTCTCGAGCGGTGCCCGGAATGTTGCTGCAGGCCTCTGCGGACTCCGCGTGCGCCCTCCCGCCGGCACCGCTCGGTGTGTCCCCTCGTCTTTGAGGGTGCCCTGGGACACACAAATACATACACCCAACCACAGGATTCCCATTATTTTTCGATATCTTTTTGGACTTTCGTTTTCCCCCCCCCCCACTTCCCATATTTTCGCATATGTTCCTGTGTGTTTTTGCTCCCTCCTGAGTCTTGGCGATCCGGCAGGAGGTGCACAGCCTCGGGGAGTGGGCCGGCGAGACGGGCATCAACAGGGGCATGAGGACACCCGGGGATCGCGTCGTTCCGCTCTGCTGCCGCGAATCCCAGACCTCCGACATGTTGACAAAAATCAAGACGGAGGTTTCTCTCGATGTTCGGTCTCTAGCGGCCCTCGCCGGGCTCTGGGACCGTCAGAAAACGACTCCGGATGGAAAGCCGGTCTTGGGGAATGGGTCGAGACTTCCGGGGACCCCGCATGGACAAAATCGCGACGTCGGATCTCTGGGACCCACTGTGCCCTGCTTCTCCCTCCCGCCCCTCACAGCCTCCCTCCCCCTTCTGCTTCCTGCCCTCCCTGCCCTGACCGGCCCACCTCGGGGTCGGCACCCTGCTCGGGATCCGTCGTGCTCGCGTAATCACCCACGTCATCATCACCACTGTCTTCGTCACCTGTCTGCGGTCGGCCCAGTGGGTGGCATCAGGTCATGTGTGAATTCGGCGGCCCCGGCGCAGTGCTGTGCCTAGATCTTGCTTACTGTTCTCAGCTGATCTCCGTACCTAGGACTGGATATAGGCTACCCTCGACTGAACCAACTCCCGAACTGGATGGACCGCCCCTTCAGTGCCCAGACCCCTCTCAACGTCGAGACCGAGCCAGACGCGGCCTGCGCGGGTGCATTCGGGAAGCTCCGCGTGACGCGATGGCCTTGGCTTTCCTTTGAATGCAGAGCATTTTGTTCAGTGCCTTTGCAACTGCTCGCTTGTTGTGCTAGTGTGCAATTAGCCTGTACCGCCGTCGCGGACACGCTTGTTGCCGCCAGACCGTAGTCGCGCGGCCGCCGACCAACAAAAATTGACGCGATGGCCGCTGCCGGGGAGCCGGTCCCAGACCATGGCGCCCACCGTGCCGCTCCAGGGAGGGCCTCGCCTTCGGCGCGCCTCGTGCCCTCGGCCGCAGACCTCGGCGCACGGCCGGCGCACGGCGGGCGGGCGGAGGCCGCCCGAGGGCGGGCGGAGACCCGTCAGCAGGCGGGCGGATAAAACGACGCGAAGATCGGGACAAAATCGGATCGGGATAATTCGAAATCTCTGAGAATCGGCGGGTTTGGAGGATGTAGTGGGCGCCGCGGCCGCTCCAGAGCGTTCTGGAACGCTCTGAGAGCGCTCCGGAACGCTCTGGAGCGATTTATCCAGATCCTAGCCCTGTTTTAGCGGAAGCTGGCGGAAGGAGCGCACCGCCCCACAGGAGAGGCATCAGAGATTGTGGGGGGGTCGGGGCTTCGGGTACGAGTCTCCATCGCAACCGAGTGGCCCATGTCTGGTCTTACGGCCAACTCGCGTCATGAGGAGGAGCGGTCTACCAAGGGGGTGTCCTCGCATTCTCGCCTCTCTGCCCATCCTCTGGGTCCGTCCTCCAGTAGATGGGAGTCGACCGTGCCCGTCCTCCTCGACAACAGATCTGTTATGTATGCTTTGAGGCGGGCGGCCACCGTGTGTTCGCGGGGAGGATCGTGCAGCATGGCAGAGCCCAGGGGGGATGGGAGGGGGAGGAAGAGAAGCTGAACCCTCAGGTCTGGACGGCGCAACAGAATTGTGGCGGCCGCGTGTCTTGCGTACTCGGCCCCATGCTGCCGCTTCCCGGTATCGGAGGCAGGAGCTTCCCAGGGCAACACACAGCCTGGGGAGCAGCGCTCGGCACGAAAGCTGTGCGGCAGCTGGGGCGGATGATTAGCTGTCCTGCTGCCCGCCAGCGTCGCCATTCCGTCACTGCCTGTATCCTGCTTGTTTCCATCAATCCGTCTTGATGTTACTATGCGTGGCATCCCCGCTCCACACTGTCACACAAGTCAGCTGCCTGCGGGAAGGAGCACACGGGAAGCCGCAACGTGCGACATCTCGCGTCCCAAGGCTTCAGGGAGCCGTAACATGCAACACACGCTTCCGAGGCGTGTCGATGTGTCTCTCTTTGTCCTCGGCGTCGGCCTCGTGTAGTCCTGTTTGTCCTTCCTCTCCGCGTTTCTCCTGCCCAACCCGCCGGTTTCTGACTCTTCTTCCTGTCCCATCCTTTCTGTGGCGACGTTTGGAGTAACGCCCAAATGTCGTCACATGTTGCACCTTCTCTTTCTGGGGCTGATTTCTGGTTTCCGTGAGTTCGTCTTGGGGCGAAGTTGGAGGATGAGCAAACCGAGGAGGAGGAGGAGGAGGAGAAGGAGGAGAAGGAGGAGGAGGAAGAGGAAGGCGGTCACATGTGGCACCTTTGGTCTCCACTTCGTGAGGAGCTCTCATGTCGCTTATTTGGGACGTCTTGGTCATGTCTTGGGCTCCTGAGGGTCAGTCTTAGGGGGTCCTTTGGATCCCTCTTGGAGGGGCTGTTGTAGGCTGCTTCGGGTTACCTCGGCGACCTCATGGTGCCAGCTTGGATCTCTCGATGGCCGTGTAGGAGCAGTTGAGCTGGTTTTTAGGGGCCTTCGAAGGCCGCACGTGGATGGTCTTTTGCCGAAGATCGTTAGACATGAAATTTAATGAACCATGTACGGGATAGTAATGTTTGTTTTGTGATCATCGAGGCGTGTTTTGGGACATCGTGGGACCTCTTTGGATCTATTCGGCGCTTCTCGGGAGCTGCTGGATGCCTCTTGAGGCAATGCGGCAGTGTTGAGCCATCTTGGCGGCCTCGATGGCCTTCTCCGGCCACCTCGGAAGCCTCGGATAGCCTTGGAGAGCGCCGCCCAGGCATGCTCGGGTGGGGGATGGTACATGCAGCCCAGGTGTGACCATGATGTGCGGACGCCCTTCGAAGGCTGGCAGAAACCCTACCAGACAGCACTTAGCGTTCTACCACGCCTCAACTTTCCAGGGGCGCGTTGGCAGACCCTTGTGCAGGGCACCCTCTCGACCGATCCTGTGGGAACGTCTCGAATCCAGGCCGCGCGGCGCCTGAGCACGATACCTCTTGCGGCCGATTCGAAGTTCTCGGAGTAACAGCGCGCGCGCCAGGGGCTTGAGGCCAGAGAAGCGGACCGAGATGATCGCAACGATCGCGAGGGTCGTGGACGGCTTCGTCAACCAGTTCATCACGTCGGCCGCGGCCGACAGCAGCATGGTCGAAGTCTTGAGCGGCAACCAGAGGGTTGCACTCGCATACCGCCTGGAGAAGAAGAGGATCCTGGAGGACACCGCTTCTGATGCCAGTCATTCGAATTCGTCGATGTGGGTCAGGTGTGTTGCATGGGGTGGTTCGGGTCCCACCTTCGTGCATGGTCGTTCCGCATTTTGGATTTACGGAGTGCGTGAGTTGCCCGGTAGCCAGCCCACTACAAATATCCACGCTTTGATTTGTCCACTAGCTTTGCCAGCCTTTGTGGTCACTCACTCCTTGTGTTTGGAGGCAAGGCGTCAGCCGCTCAAGGCTGGTAGCACATGCGAGACCAGTAGACATGCCTGCCGTATCGATTAAACTTGCGTTTTGCGGGCGATCATGTTCACGATCCAGCATGCATGCTGACTGAGTATTGCATGTATGCGCTATTTGTTCGTGTCTCGATGGCCTCTGAGTGCGAGGAGACAGAGTAGCACGAACGAGTTTGTAATTTGGCACATGTGCGAGTGTTGGCTCCCTTGGTCTGATGACCCACCGCCAGGGATTCACTTTTCACGCAGGCTGGTTCCTTGGAGCACGATCTGATTCTCGCCCGTGGATCCCGCAAACCGTTCTTGCTGGCGGAATTCCCGGAGAACCAGCTGCCCTGAGGGGGCTTGTCTCTCCTCTTCAGAGATCGGTGTGTGTGTGTGCCGCCGTCGCTAAAACCCGCCACTAGTCCCCACTGGCCCTTGGCTGGCCCTCGCGGCCGCTACAGCCCCGGGTGACGTCAGGGTCCGGCTTCCTCCGCGGGCCCCTGCGAGACCCTCCCGAGGCCATGCCCGACCCCGTTGTCCGCCACCGTGCCGTTGCTGTTTGCTGCCCCGCTGATCCATGGCACCCCCAGGGCTGGTTACCGCCGCCAGCCTCGGCCAGCAGCCAAATCGCCCCACCGACTATCCTCGGCCACGCGCTGAGGGGGGTGGGGGGAGGGGGGGGGGGCTTAGAAGCACCCCTGCTTCTTAGAAGGCGCGGGCCTTATCTGTAGACGTAAGGCCGGCGCCTTCTAAGAAGCGGCCTCCTTCTAAGAAGCCCTCCCCCCTCCCCCCACCCTCTCGTGCGCGCCGCCAATATTCCCCCAGCGCTGGTGGTCATCACTAGCCGTGCGAGCCCCGCTGGCCTTTGGCGGCGCCGGCTGCCGCCACAAGCCCTTCCTGGCCCCCGGCTTGCTCCGCTGGCCCGGCTTGCCGACAACAGCAGGTGCCTCGAGTGATAAACCAGCTCGCCAGCAGGTGCCCCCCCCCAGCCTGCCAGCAGTGACCTTGATGGCCCCTGGGACCCGCTGAAGCCTCGGGGCGGTCGGGAAGCTCAGAGATCGTCCTCGAACGTGCCCCTAGATCTCCACGTGCTTCTGACAGCGGGATTGCTTGCCGTATGTACTGAGTGTCGTTGCCACCAGTCGGACCGAGGAGACCAGGCCAGGTTGCACATGTAGCCGGGGGCGCCGTCACAAGCCCCATGCAGCTTTGTTGGCAAAGGGTGGTGCCTGCTCTCCACGAGCACTGTGTAGCGACAGCATTGCTTGCTGCCAGCAGCCCTTAATTATGAAACCCTGGCTATTCCACCAGCCCCAGAAGGAAACCCAAATTGCCCTCGGAGGCGCCAGCGCCTGTTGCGAGTATTATTTCACGCCATCCCGCCACTCGTTGCGCTGTTCCACCAGCCCCAGAAAGAAACCTAGCCCTGGGAGGTGTCAGCTTCGGTTTCGAATATTAGCTTATGCCAGCCCTTGGATTGTTCCACCGACCCTATACTATGCCTGGATATCACCAGAGCTGGCTGCTGCCGCCAAGCCTCACTGGCATTAGATTACCCCGTACCACACTGATACAAGCCCTCGTTGGCCCCACTGCCGTAGACAAGTCGTAGTTATGCGTAGCAGCACTCGGCAGCCTAAATCAATCATGCTGATCAGTCTGCTGTTTCATTGCTCGGTTGTTGCGCTTCTGGGCTCGCTAAACGAGCTCTGTGACACGGGGCGTGTGTAGATCATGTGCGCGCGAGTGTGGGGAGCAATATCCAAGTATAATTGGCGGTAAAGAGTCTTCGCTTCCAGGACGTGCTGGATCTCTGCGGCAGGGCAGCACAGAATGTGTCGTCGCGTGAACGAAATCGAGGCCGCCTTCCGATTGATGCCCTTCGCCCGATGTTTGTTGCTACCATTTCTGCAATTTGCTTGTTCTCTCACTATATCTATATATATATAGCAGTATGAATATGTATATAAATATATATTCATACGTAGGTCGTCCTCTCCCTCCATCTCTCTCTATTGATGTTGTTTATGTATTTGTTTATTTCTCTCTCTCTCTCTCTCTCTCTCTCTTCCTCCATCGCTTCGTCCCTCCGCTCGCCTCCCTGTATTTATACATATACACATAAGCATAAATATGTGCGCCAGGTATCTCCGAGAGGCTACAGGTGCATGTTACGCCCACTGCGCGCTGCGACTTTTCGTGAGCAGCACGGTTCCTCTCAGCGTGCCTTACTATTTTATCCATGATGACTTCATGCCCATTACTGGAGGAGGGAATTCGTCTGTAATCCAGACCGTCCGCGACGGGGCAGCATTGCCCTACACTTGCGCGATATGTTTCCGGGCATGCAGCTCCACGCCGCTCTGGCGTGCTGCCAGCTCTCCGCCAGCGGGCGGCGACAGCCAAACGTGTCTGCAGCAGCTCCGCACACGTCGTGCGACGGTTCGCCGGCGGTGAAGAGCCCACGGATTGCAGGGACCCGGCAGGCTGTGCCACCACTCCGCGCGACGAGCTTTCTGGCCCGCGGCTCGTTTGCGCACGCTTCTGCAGGGGACGGGACGACGCCGCCCGTCTCTCCCCCCGGGTCGGCTGCGAGCACCCGCGATCACACCCGCGGACACGACGACGCGGGGCTTCCGGGCGACGTTGGCTGACGAGGGCGACGGCGACGGCGAGGAGGAGCCGCTGCAGGGAGAGCGTGGCAGGAGCAGGCGCAGGACGACCGCACAGAGCCCAACCGTCACCCGCGGTTGGTAAGAGTTGCGCCGCTTCCCGAGCGAAGTTCTCTAGAAGGTGTCGGGAGGCCTCTGGAGGCCCGAGGAGGCCCGAAGAACACCGACGGTCCTGGCGAAGTGCCCAACCACATACAGTTGTGAGTGGCGCAGATGTGAGTATCGTCTTCGATGGAGCTCCCGATGGGGCCACGAAGCGTGGGATGGGTGTGCCGAAATGGGCGCGGTGGCGCCCTTCGAACCCTCCCAATGGGGCCTTCGTATGGGGCCACGAAACGTGTGAGGGGTGTGCCGACATGGGCGCGGTGGCGCCATGCGAGCCCTCCCATTGGGGCTTGCGGTGGAGCTCCTTGTGGGGCCACGAAACGTGTAGGGGGTGTGCCGGAATGGGTGCGGTGGCGCCATGCGAACCCTCCAATTGGGGTCGTCGGTGGAGCTACCTATCGGCCACGAAGCGTGTCTGTTGTGTGGCGACAAGCAGTCGTGGTGGTGATGATCTAGTTTCCCCAGTGGCGGCCCACCCCGTGGCAGTGCCTGGCGGGGGCTACAATGGCGTGAGGAGCTTTTGAAGCAGCGACGGCGCCAGGGGCCGAGTATTTTTGCTCTTGTCCGTGTCTGAGGGGCGCCGTCGTCGGGAGGGAGGCGGAGGGGGGAGGAAGGCAGGAGGAGGAGGAGGATGAGGAGGAGGAGGAGAAGGGGGAGGAGGAGGAGGAGGAGGAGGAGAAGGGGGAGAAAGGGTGAGGAGGAGCAGGAGGAGGGAGGGAGGGAGGCGGATCGGGGGAGCAGGAGGAAGGAGAGGAGGACAGGTTGGTTCGTTGGCTGGGCCCATGGGGATCGGACCAGTCCGCGTGCGCGGTCTCTTTAGCATGGCTGTTGTGCCGAAGGCGATTCTGGAATGCCCAGGCCCAAGCCTGACCCTGCCCCCGCCGTCGCTGTGCGACTGGGGACGAGAGGAGGGGCTCGGCGCGGTCGTGCGGGCGGCGCGCGGCGGTGGCCGCGCTGCGCGCGGGTCCGCGCGCCGCGGGCGGGGCCCGCGGCGGCGGGGGCCCGTCGGGGGCAGCCGCTGGCGGGAGCGGACGCCGCCGGCGCAGGGCGGCCAGCAGCTCGTGCACCGGCGGGGGGCGCGGACGGCCTGTGCCCAGCCGCTGCCCGCCCATCTACCAAGAGATCCGCCGCTCCAAGCAGAAGTCGGAATAAAATCTGTGAGACGAGCAGCAGCAAAATCGACGGACGAGCTTGAGATCCAACTCCAATCCTCTGCGTCAAAAGCGCGTCGCATAGACCTCCAATCCGCGTCGCGAAAATGCCACACTTCACGTGCAAGCGATTCGAAAGAGAGCGGAGGACTGTCGGAGCGGGCGGTTCTTCACCGTTTTCGACCTCTGCGGGCCCTCGCTGGGCCTCGGGGCCGTCAGAAAACTGCTCAGGAGGAGCTGCTGGCCCTAGGGAAGTGGCCCAGATCTCTGGGGCCCACGCATCGAAAAAATGGAAGCAGCCGGATGTCTGGGCATTCTGCAGGCATGGAGACCCCCATGTCCACACCGTGCCACCGGGCGAGGAGGAGGGAGGCATTCGATCAGATGTCCTCTCTTCCTTATCGGGTACTCCGTGGCGAGCGCCTACTCCAAGCCATGTGCTCACTTTTCTTTCTTCTGTCTCCCATGCCTATTTCCTTTTCAGATTTACGTGCGCCCCGAATAACCAAGTCGGTGTTCGACACTTCCTTATTTTTCTCAGAGAACGCAACAGCCAAGCTGCTAATGTATGGCCAACGTCAGGAAGGAAGAGGGAGGAGGATGAGGAGAATTTGGAGGGTTGTTCAAAGAGGAGCAGCAGCACAAGGAGGAATAGCAGCCCCAGAAGGAACGAGAGGGGAGGGGGACTATCCCAGAAGCACCCTCAATCGCGTTTGCGGACACCGGCCGGGACGGGGACCAAGAGAAGCAGCGGCACAGGAGATGTATAAAAGACTTCGACGATCGTCCAGTGCAGGACGGCAGGCAGGTGCGATGCTCTGAGAGCCAGCAGCGCGCACTGGTGGATG